AGTTCGGTTGTAGTGAGAAAGCAATACGATCCAACAAACCAGGCTATATCACAGTGTATAATAGATATGTAATGGGCATATTTTTGGCTATAAGAAAAGAGAATGAGGAGTAGAGATATCATTCCTATTGGTAAAAGTGTGTTTTATGTCAAATACAAAAGTGAAAGCATGCTGTCTACTGAACTACACTACATTACAGGGTTCAACGCTATGGATTTTTCATATTTTCACATTTTTCAATTTTCACTGGCCTCACCAAAAAAAAGGAGGTTAATAGCTATTTTTTTGCCACATTTTAAATAATGTGTCAAAATTAAAGTCTGTGAATCTAGAATTTCAATACTTAAAATAAATAAAAAAGTGTATTTTATTTAAAAAGTGTAAATAAAAGTGTTATGCAAACAAAAAGTGCAGTACAGAAAATGTTAAAAAAAGGTGGCTGACTTGTCAAACTGGCAGCAAACTGTGCAAAACATCACTTCATTTTTATTTTGTCGTGTTAGTCACACGTAAATGTCTACTTCCAACTGTTAGAAACAGAAATTTTCTTTTAGCCTTATAATTTAATGTTGCCGCCATGTTGCCGTTTCTTCGCTGTACTGGTTTTTACCAGGTTACAGAAAAAAAATATCATGTCAATCAGATAAGAGCAACTGGAAAGCAATATGGTGTTTACGACATCACAAAGAAGGTAGTGTTTAAAAATTAAAAGCACAAACTTAAAATGCACGCAATTGACAAATAGTCACAGACAAATTAAATGTTAGTGACAAGGCAGCACTGTCCCAATCGGGCCAGTAATGATCCGGTCTACTGTCCCAAGTGTCTCTGAAGCTGGCCCTGGGCCACCGGGTAGTTCTTATTGTTGAGCCTTGCATTACATTAATATTTTCTCAAAGTTGGGTTGGGAGCTGGTCTATTCTACGCAAGCTATGGTGACTTTCACCTTGATAGTTTTGCGTGGATGTATACATGACCAGTGAGCCGTCTGACAAAAAAGTGCACTTCTGAATCAAATCAGCAGGATGCTTGATTTTAACTGAAGTTCGGCAGTGTCACTTTAACTCATGAACATTTCATTCATGCACCCGTGACAAACTGGGGTATTAGATGCAAATAAAGAGTAAGGACTGGTAAGAGAGTTATGGAGTTTAATAACGCATGGCAAATGGAAAGAAAATAAACTTCCGCATTTCATGATGTGCGAGTGTGTGTGTGCGGTCCTTTACTGACAGTCGCGTGTGGATCTTGTAGGATAAAATAAAATAGCCTTAACTTTAAAAATAGCATTAACTTTAGTTTAACTTGACTTCTGATATAGAATCGATATATATTTTACAACCATTGACTATTGAAATGAGGCTGTGTATGCTAAATTCTTACGTCTGATTTATATTTGATGATGACTATGTCTGTTGGTGTCATTATTCAAAATTAAAGTGCACCTATTCGCTTATATAATATCTCATTTTAAATCATCATAAATTAAAATAACGACATATGACAGCTGAGCAGAATCCCGGAAATGAACCTAAAAATAAACTAAAACCAAACATTGTAACAATTTTTATCCGTTTCGGAACAAAACAATCGATCTAGAGGTGTCAAAGCACCCTAAAACTACAATGAGGTTGTATTTGTTTACGTGTCATAAACAACGTGGCTATGTAAACTAGGGCTGTGCAATACTGAAGAAAAACGTGATATGCCATTTTTGATATTCAATACAATATTTAAATAAAATGTATAACCAACTTATGTTTCATATTATTTCAGGGAAAAGAAAGCATCACTACATTTGCTCAAAGTTAACGGTCATGTTTTACCTGAACAAATCTGACATTTTAACAATGTAAACAAACAAAAATAAATATCACCACCACTTCGCTCTACTGCTATAGTATCAATCAATATCAATCTTCAAAACTAAAAAAAAAACAGAGAGAGAGGAGTTAATTTTTACTGTCTTGTGGCTTTTTTTTTTAACATGACATGATTGCTTGGTCATCAGCTTCCATTCTAAAACCATAACAAATGTTTGGATACAAAAACCAGCATGTCCACTCTGCATGGTTTCAGAGATGAGCATTGACGTGTAACTACACTGCCTGAAGTGCTGAGAAGTCTTTTAGAGGGTGTGCCACTGGCAGGTATACAATTTGTTATATATTAAAACTATTAATTTATCATGATATACACATTTCAATATATTGTGCAGCCCTAATGTAAACTAATAATGAGTTGTCTCGCACAAAGCAATTGTTTTGCTTCTTAAGTCCTTCTTGTATCACCAGGAGCCAGCTATTTTTTTTTTTACTTGTATATTTTTTTCAATCTTAAAATATCACTAGCTGTTGACTGACTTCCAGGTTATGAATCACCAAGGCCCACAGTTCCAGCAAAAAAAAATAAAAATCCTACATGGGGTAAAGTATTTTTAAAGGTGAACTAAGCTATTAACTGCACTTATATCCCAGTTGTAGCTATACAAGTACTGTAACTTCAAAATAATTATTTACTAGATTTGTTTTAACTTCACTCAGTATCCCATTATTGACAAGTAACTTTTCTATGTAACTCTTTATTTAAGATGGCCTTGTTACACATTTCATGTACTTATACTAAATTAATTAGATTTAATTATGTACAATGACATGCCACAAACCCTAAAACAAACCCACATTTTACCCCAAACCACATGTTTAATTGCATGTAGTTATTTCTTAGTTAAATGAATAGTTACACTAAGGATACCTTAAAATAAAGTGTAACCCAATTTCATTTTTCCAGTAATGAACTGCAAGTTTTAGACACTAAAATAAACATTTGGGTCTGTTAACATGAACTAAAACACTTCTAAAGCTATGATTTTCTAATTAAAATCATTTTTAAGATTAATTTATAAAGCAAAGGTTGTATATGTCTCCTGAGCTAAACATTTCTAAACTAACTTTATCAAAGATATATAAATAACATTTGCTACCAACTATTTTGGATTTGCTTGTGATATTCTTAAGTACTTATATCCGGGAAACTATTAACCCTTTCATTATAAATAACTAAAGAACACGTATGGTATTCTTGCAAGTCATTACTGGGTAAAGTAGATGCAAACTATTATTACTGACTAACAGAATGAAAGGGATAGTTTACACAAAAATGAAAATGTCATCATTTACTCACCCTTCACTTATCACAAACATGTTTGAGTTTCTTTTTTCAGTTGAACACAAAAGTAGTTATTTAAAAAATGTCAGAAACCCGTAAGCATCAACTTTCATAGTATTTGCTTTTCCTATTATGGAAGTCAATGTTTACAGGTTTCTTACATTTCTCAAAATATCTTCTTTTGTATTCAACAAAAAAAGGACACATGCCAATATTCAATAAATTACAATGAACATGCACAATATTAATATCATGGGTGCTTTAAAATACAGTAAATAGTTATTTATTATTTAAACTTTATTTAGGTTCACTAGGCAAGTTATTGTATAACGATGGTTTGTTCTGTAGTCCATCGAAAAAAAATTGCCTAAAGGGGCTAATAATTTTGTCCTTGAAATGGTGTTTAAAAAAATGAAAACTGCTTTTATTCTAGTCGAAATAAAACAAATAAGGCTTTCTCCAGAAGAAAAAAAAATTATTATCGGGCATGCTGTGACAATTTTCTTGCTCTGATAAACATCGTTTGGGAAATATTTAAAAAAAAGAGAAATAAATTCAAAGGGGGGCTGACTTCATCAGTATATAGGCCTTTTGTTAGATAAATCATTAATAACATGCCTAATCATGTATTAAAATCAAGTCATAATTGTTTTATTAAATGGGATAATTAACTAATAAAATTCAGGCTTTTTAATATTGTGACTACTTTAATTTTAATTCAGAAATTAATTATTTAAAGGATAATTAATTAACCTAAAAATTAACTCAATTATGATTACTTTTTGTTTTTTAAAGTAATGCCTTAATTTACTCGTTACCAGAGTATATAACGTTACAGGAATCAGAGAGTGAAATTCAATACTTTTTTAAGACTCTGTGCATACATTTTACATCTTATAACCACTTTTCAACCGGAAACACTGGCGAGATTTTAACTTACAGTATATTTACTAAAAATAATGTAAGAAATGAATCCAAAACTAAAACATTATTCATTTATTGAATAAAATCTATTAAATCCAGCTAATTCAGCAGGTTGGCACCTATAGGACTGCAGAAATAATGGCGTCACCTTGGTTACTGCAGTAAACAAAGCAGAACGATGTCATACACAGCATCCAGATATTCACAGATGTAAATCAGGCCAGCTTTCGCATACAGCTATTCAATGCATAATCAAAAATGAAATAAAATGTAATACCTTGCAAAATAGCATTTAAGACCTTTTAATAATTTTTAAAGGGTCTAATTTTCTCTACATTGATTTATCAACCTTTAATACTTTTTAAGACTACGCAGACACCCTGGTAACTTAGAAAAGTAATATTATTATGTAACTTGCATTACTTGAAATGTGTTACCCCCAACACTGGTGCTAATGTTATTCTGAAGTCATACTTAAATGTAATTTCCGACCAAATACTCAAAGTAGCGTGCTAAGCAATTTTAACACTATAACAATATAAGTTGTCACTGAAAGAATTTCCAACTTTATCTCAATCTATGATGATGACTTTCTCTACTGCGAAACTAGAAATGTGAAAAGGGTCCATATCGTGATAATACCGTATAATTACCATGATAAACATTTTATAAATTAATTCGCAACAGCAAAATGTAGTCTAATACCACCAGAAGGTTTCTAAATGATGACTACATTTTCGTTTTTGGATGAACTATCCCTACCAAATCACTATTAGCCTGCTACTAACAAATCACTATTTAGTTGAAAGCAATAATTGTGAACACAGCTTGCCACACAGCGTCCTACTTCATGTGGCAACCTGTTGAGAGACAGCTCAAGCGTCTATACCTGTCTGCCAGAAACTCACCAAACGCTGCCATACGCTCCCGTTCCAATCTGCTTTAAGCAAACGTACTTTGCCGGGACTTCCCATACCGTACTGTTGATCTCCTCACGACTAAATTCCACCCGAGACTCCATTTAGCGACGAAGGAAAACAGGCAGAAAGCAAAACCGTCACTGCGCGCACTGCGACTCCTACGCGATATTCTGCATTCGCGCTCCGAAAGGTCACTGCGTAGGAACGATTCAGTCTCACGACAAAATAAAGCTGCCGTTTATCTGCTCGTGTGTACCGCGGGGCGGCCGCGGAATCGATGCGTTAAATCGCAAGCCATTGAAAGTTTGAAACGCTCGCCGTGATCCAACGACTCGCTGTGATCTGTCTGACTGTGTGACGTCGTGATGCCCCGAACACGCCCACTTTCAGTCTTAAACAACTGCCGCTTTGATTGACACACTGGCGCATACTTTAATGTAAACACACATACACACAACATTGCAGATTCATGTTGTCTTGTAAAAACAAAAATAAATGTTCTAAATGTGCACAACTAAAATATGATGATGATCAATTTTCCTTTTATTGGAACTGATTTTCATCTGTATTGTATTTATTCATTATAGGATTAACATCTTGGGATATACCATCTCATTTTTAAGGGGGTCCCACAAATAATTGAAATCACGTAATAAGAACACGACAAAAACAAAACATAAATTACATAACATCAATAAAACAACAACAAACTACAAAACATAAACATCAACAAAAGTACACTGTAAAAAAATCCTGGTTGCCTTAAACTTTTAAGCTGAATCAAATGAACCGTATGAGTCCACTGAACTTATGTTAAACTGACTTATTAAATTACAAATTAAGTTAAAACATGATTAACCTAGTTTATTAAGTTACAATGAACTAAAATTAAATGCTGTCATGACTAATTGTTCAATTTTTTTTAGCGTATACATACATACATACATACACTCACCGGCCACTTTATTAGGTACACGAGTCCAACTGCTTGTTAACGCAAATTTCTAATCAGCCAATGACCTGGAAGCAACTCAATGCACTTACGCATGTAGGTTGAGACCATCTGCTGCAGTTTAAACTGAGCATCAGAATGGGGAAAAAGGGTGATTTAAGTGACTTTGAAAGTGGCATGGTTGTTGGTGCCAGACAGGCTGGTCTGAGTATTTCAGAAACTGCTGATCTACTGGGATTTTCATGAACAACCATCTCTAGGGTTTACAGAGAATGGTCTGAATAAGAGAAAATATCCAGTGAGCGGCAGTTCTGTGAGTGCAAATGCCTTACTGATGCCAGAGGTCAGAGGAGAATGGCCAGACTGGTTCCAGGGAATAGAAAGGCAACAGTAACTCAAATAATCACTTATTACAAACAAGGTCTGCAGAAGAGCATCTCTGAACGCACAACATGTCCAACCTTGAGGCGGATGGGCTACAGCAGCAAAAGACCACACCGGGTCCCACTCCTGTCAGCTAACGGCAGGAAACTGAGGCTAGAATTGGCAAAGGCTGATTAAAATTGCACAACAGAAGACTGGAAAAATCTTGCCTGGTCTGATGAGTCTCGATTTCTGCTGTGACATTCAGATGGTAGGATCAGAATTTGGCGTCAACAACACGAAAGCATGGATCCAATCCTGCCCTGTGTCAACGGTGAGAAGCAGTAAATAATAACTTGACGTCTAGTTGACCATTTGATATCAGAAATGTCTTAAATGAAAGGCAAAGGCCTCCTGATTACACTTATTTTACCAAATAAAATATGATTTTGAATTATTTAATTAGGAAAGTAAGGTCTGACTTTGCTTAGACAAAAGTCTTGTCACTTAAGAGAAATAATGTACAATATATGTACCAACATCTCTGCAATGACTCAAGAAACTTACTAATAAAGTCATCTGGAATGGCAAAGAAAGCCCAGGACAGAGTTCATCATGACTCTTTGGATTCATCTTCAATGCCTCCACCATCACCTTATCCCAGACATGCTCAATAATGTTCATGCCTGGTGACTGGGCTGGCCAATACTGGAGCACCTTGGTCATTGCTTTCAGGAACTTTGATGTGGAGGCTGAAGTATGAGAAGGAGAGCTATCCTGCTAAAGAATTTGCCCTCTCTTGTGGTTTGTAATGTAATGGCCAGCACAAATGTCTTCATACCCCAGGCTGTTGATGTTGCTATCCACTCTGCAGAACTCTTGCACGCCCCCATACTGAATGTAACCCCAAACCATGATTTTTCCTTTACCAAACTTGACTGATTTCTGTGAGAGTCCATGTGTGTTCCAATAGGTTTTCTGCAGTATTTGTGATGATTGGGAAGCAGTTCAACAGATGATTCATCAGACAAGAATCTACCTTCTGCCACTTTTCCAAATGATCAACTAAAAGTCAAGTTATTATTTGTTGATCTTACAACTGGGATCGACGACAATACTTTTGTCAGGTAGTGTACTGTAAAAAAAAAATATTGATTTCAAAACATTTATTTTTGAGTGGGGGCATTATATCATGTATGAGAACAAATGCATGTGTGTGTTCTGGCTTGTGTTTTACAAGGACAAAATTGAACAGCAACATTGGCATGACCTATAGGTATCAATTTTGTTGGTGGTTTAGGGTGGTAATTCAAAATACTTAAACATTATATTTAATGTGGTCATTTGACAATCTTTTCCCCCTGCATTTCACCAGTGAGGGTTGGGTTTAGGGGCAGGGTAATAAGTGGTTTTACCAGTATAAAAAACATGCCAGTGGAGAGTCCACATAAATGTGTGTGTGTCAGAAATATTATGAGTAGTTTATACAATAAAACAAGACCGCAGCTATTATTTATTTTTTTATTTTTTATTTTTTTATTAGAATATGCAAAAATCATACAAATACAAGAAAACATCAACAGATAACAAATACAAAGCAACAAAACAAAAACATCAACAATATAGTCAGGTACTGGTATGTGCGTGAGTGTGTGCGTGTGAGTGTGTGTATGCATGTAAAGGTAACTTGGTGGACAGGTCAGAGTACATACATTGGGAACAATAACAGTCAATAAATGAAGCAAGTGTCACAGATATAGATAAAACATATAGAAAGAAACCAGTCAGAGGTAGGGAGTAACAACAATGCTTATTATTGTATGATATTAAATATGAGAGTAAAAAGAGAGAAAGGACAACAGTAATAACTGACAACAATAATAATAAATCACAAGTGCTACACCAACTACTACTACAGAAAGTTACTTATATAACAACTACTACTGCTTCTACTACAGCCACAACCACGACTACTACTACTAAAGTGTCTACTAATACTGATACTACTACAACGACTACCACTACTGATACTACTATAGCGTTTGCTACAACTAATACAACAACGTCTACTGCGACTACTACTACTACTACCACTACTACTACTACTACAATCACTTCTACTACATCTACATCAACAACATCTACTACTGATATTACTACACCAACAACGACTACTACTACTACTGTAACAACCACACCATTACTACTTTACTACGACCGCAGCTATTATTAACAGTAAATGCAGAGAAACAATAACCTTGTCATAACACTACACATCACACATTTGTCAAAATAAGCACAAAGGCGTAAACCAAGATTAACATGAGTGAAATATGTAGATAGTGAAAAGTTAACGGGTTAATAAATATGCTTTGATACTATTGCTGCTTTCTAATAATAAAAAAATAATAATCATTTGTAAGCAAATCTGTGAGGCCCAAATTCAATCATGCGACATCATACTAGAGCAGATAAGCGACTAATATTCAGCCTGGCGGGATATGGAAACTGGCGCGTGCTATTGGTATATCAGGACAGTTATACCAGTGTGATGGATAGTACAGTAAAGGTTATAGTGAGCCATCACAAAATTAAATGCAGTGGAGAATCTGGGAGCAGTATCTCTTGGATATTCCCTCTGGGGCATATTCATTTCTCTACCCGTTTTATAGGCACTGAACCACTCAATTATTGGAAGGCTATAACTGTGAAAGACAAAAATAAATTCTTACAGGCTCTACACTGGCCCATAAACGAAAGCTTATTTATTGAGACTGATTTTGGCCACTAGATGGCACTGTCAGACAGGCGTGATGTGAACGGCAGCACTGGGATAAAGGCAGTTGTGTAACAACAGCAATGAAGCCATACTTACAAACTAATTAGATGTGTTGTATATAACCAGTCACCTGATTAGAAACAACTGATTGCATCCCTTTTTGATTCTGACCCTGTTTTGATCCTTTTGTGGCATTGATTCTGCAAGGTGTAGAAAAACATTTCTCAGGGATTTTGGTTAATGTTGACAAGACAGCATCACAGTTTTTTTTTTCTGATTTGTCGGCTACACATCCATGATGTGAATCTCCTCTTCACCACAACTCAAAGGTGCTCTAATGGAGTGAGATCTGGTGACTGTGGGGGACATTTTAGTATTGTGAATTTACAGGCATTTAATAAACCTGTTTGAGTTGAGCTTTGTGATGGGGTGTTTTGTTATGCTGAAAGTCAGCAACAATAGGTCTGGTGTTCAAACAATACACAGTTGGCACTAAATGGACCCAATGTGAGGCAAGAAAATTTACCTGCTCCATTACACCACTAGCATGCTACGCCATTGCTACAAAACAGAATGCATTCATACTTTTTGTCCAAATTTATACCCTAACATCCATATTTTTGCTGCAGTAATCAAAAATTAGGCTAGGCAACATTTTTTCCAACAGTTTTGGCAGTCTATGTAAATTGTAGCCTGAGATTACTGTTCTTTACTGACAAAAGTGTCAGCTGTTGCTGCATTCAGTTCCTCCTGGGATGTTCCTACTTACAAGACACATCGTAAAAATGATGTCAAGTGCGTTAAAGTTACTTAATCAGCATAAATTACAGCAGGGATAGCTAACTCAGCTTTTAGAAAATGAATAGCAAAGAATTCGCACCAATTTTGTTTTGTGAACCCATAACAGTTGCCTTTGCATGAATTCTGCCTACTGACCTATGTACACTTACCGGCCACTTTATTATGTCCAACTAATGGTAAAGGCAAATTTCTAATCAGCCAATCACATAGCAGCACTGCAATCCATTTAGGCATGTAGACATGGTAAAGACGATCTGCTGCAGTTCAAACTGAGTATCAGAATGGGGAAGAAAGGTGATTTAAGTGACTTTGAACATGGCATGGTTGTTGGTGCCAGACAGACTGGTCTGAGTATTTCAGAAATTGCTGATCTACTTGGATTTTCATGCACAACCATCTCTAGGGTTTACAGAGAATGGTCCCAAAAAAAGAAAATATTCTTTTTCTCTCGGCAGTTCTGTGGGCGCAAATGCCTTGTT